TTATTTGCTCCTGATAGCGGCGCATGTAAAATTCTTGTTACTGTACTTCCATTAGCAGAGGTGGGTACAGGGTCAGTGTTACGGTGTAAGCTTACATTGGCGGGCATATTGTTTTGTACATTAAAGCCAAGACGCATGTTGATGTTACTAATTTGTTATGAGTTTCCCTTTCATTTTACAAAGTGCCTTGGTGCCCTTCTCAAATCTGAGAGTTGCCTTGTGCCTTCTATTTTAGAGAAAATTCAAGGCGATTTCTCACATGCCCTAAAAAATTGCCTTGCCCTTCTCGGCCGCTTAATTCGAGCCCCTGATAAAACCAATGTGCCTAACCTAACCCTAACCCTAATTCTAACCCTAACCCTAACCTAATAGTAATACTAACCCTAACCCTAACCATAAACCCTAACCTAATTGTATTGATATAATATTATATTTATATTGATGTAAATGACATTGGTTTTATTGGGACCCATGTTCTCTATCCTTGAACCGTACTGGCCGTACTAGTACTAGCAGGAGGGTACTAGTACTAGTAGTAGTAGTAGTAGTTAGCTAACATCAGACTCAGTCTTTTAGTTTTGCAGTTTTACTGTCTAGTATATTGACGACCTTACCTGGTACAGTCTTTACAGCAGGACGTCATATCATTATGATGAATTTCCAAAAGGTGGTGGGCGAACGCGTCAGAAACGAAAATATGCAGCATTCGAACACAAAACACATGCGACTCAACTTTGAAATGGTAATGCGCCGCTGCGCGGCCTGAGAACAAGATATATACAGAGAAGTGAAACGGATTGGTTACACGTGATCACGTGCCGTGGCGCCATGTTATGACTTTTGTACATTTCGTGTTTATTTACAATTAATTTTTTTTATTGAAACGTTGTGTACTTGTACTTTGTGACTGTGTGTATACATATCAAGAGTAGATAATAACACATATATATAGTCTATTATAGTATATTAATATTATTAACCCGACCAGGCTGTGTGACTAACGTCAATAGGTATTCTAACCCTAGCAATACCGTTTCTTGGAGCTATAATATTATATAATATATATATAGTATAATATATATATTATAGTCTATTAATATTATAGGCCTAGTACATATAAAATGATATATATAAAATTATAGTCTATTAGTATTTATATGTATGTATAGGTGTCTAAACGACCGGACCATACGACGTACTGTTGCTCAAGGGGTCGTTGTCGTAACAGCTAGGTACTAGTACTACAGATAATTAGCTCTAGTACTATAGCCCGCTTACATTAACTGCCGCTGGCATTTCATCCAGCGGCAGTTAATGTAAGCGGGCTATAGTACTAGTCTACTAGAGCTATGCAGATATATACCCAGGACCGTACTATATGTATACACAAAGTGTACCAGCTTGTACTACAGAAGTGTACCCTAAGTGCTAACCTAAACCCTAACACTAACCCTAACCCTAACCCTAACCCTAACTCTAACCCTAACCCTAACCCTAAACATACCTCAGGCTCATATAAAAATATAAACATAATACTAAACACAGGGCCGGTTCCAGGCTGAGGGCTAGACAGTATTTTTCCGAGATTTAAAGGCACAATCACCCAAAAGGCCACACCAACCCATAGAGTACAATAATGTAACCCAAACCAGAGGATAGGCGCTTACAAGCAGCCTCCCTATCCTTTTGTCGGGGAACGGGAGGAATCCCGACAGAGCGAAGTAATCCCGGCCGGTTTACTTGTGGCGTTTTCAGGAGACTAGAACTTCCCAACTGGGTTTATTCTCAACACGAACCTTTTTCGCGCTATCGGAACTTACTATGTTATCGCAATACTCTGTATTAAAACTAATATAACCTGTTACCAAAATTCGAAGTGACGAGCGGCGAATATACTGAGCGCCATTTCTGTTGACGTGTGACGTACTTCGGGTTGAAGAGCGGATTCACCGACCAATCGGAGGCGCGCTGCGTTTGCCGATCGCGTATGCGCATTGGAGAAATGCGTAGCGTCACAGGTCAACAGAAATGGCCTCAGTATATTCGCCGCTCGGTCACTTCGAATTTTTGAACAGGTTATATTAGTTTGATACGAGTATGCCGATACATAGTAAGTTCCCAGATAGCGGAGAAAGGTTCGTGTGAGAATAAACCCAGTTTGAAGTTTTCTAGTCTCTGAAAACGCCACCAGTAAACCGGCGCCGAGTGATTCACTCGGCATTCCTCCGCAGCAAAAGGATAGGGAGGCTTTGGTAACCCTATCCTCTTGGGTTTGGGTACATTATTGTATCTAACCACCCCACAGTGAGCGCAAAATTTCGAAGGGCACTTTGAAATCTAGACCGTATTTCCCAATACGGCAAATACGGTCTGAATCCGCCCTTTAAACAACCTAAAACTACCTCGGGTACATATCTGTAGTACCTGTTACGACAACGTCCCTTCGTGCCGTACGTACTGTTTTGCCGGCCCATACTTGAAATATTTATAAATTAGTATTTATTTTACACTATATTTTGAAAACCTAAATCAAAAATTGAATTGAACAATATAGTGCACTTCGACTAGCATATTGTTCCTGCATTCCAGCGAGAATGACACAGCCAATTGCTGTTGCATATGGCACCAACAAGGGAGGTATAACGAAAGTGGTGGCCCGTGTGAGTAAATACTATATATTATGCCCACCTTACACAGTATATAGTCACATAATATCAGGAGTGGATAATAGGGATTATTAGGTACCTATTATTAGGTCCCTATTATTAGGTCCCTATTATTAGGTCCCTATTATTAGGTCCCTATTATTAGGTCCCTATTATTAGGTCCCGATTATTAGGTCCCTATTATCCACTCCTGATAATATGCCACTAATTACGAACTACACATTAACTACAACCAAATCATGTAAAAGTGACGAGTTTCACTTTTCCTTTGCAGCTCCATGAACTAATTGGAGATCCTGCCCTGCCAGAAGGAGCATGCAGTGCTCCATGAAGTGAAGCAGGCGTTGAGAAATAAAAAAGATTATAGGTATCGTAAATAATTAAGTCATTAAAAAATGCTATATGTATTCGCATCAGTATAAATTAAAGTGAATAAAACTAGCAGCTAGATACATAGATATACCTACTGTGAGCTCGCATATGCTGCAAAAATTTACTACAACTTATTTGTATTGCTACTTTCACAAAATTTCGCTTTGTTTTCACTAAGTAGAAAGAGCAGCAAGAAAGAGCAGCAGCAGCATCAGCAGCAGCAGCCAGGTACTGCAGCAGCAACAGCAACAGCCACTGCAGCAACAGCAACAGCCACTGCAGCCACAGCAGTAGAGGCAGCAGTGGCCGCAGCCACTGCAGCAGCAGCAGCAGCAGCAACAGCCACAGCAGCAGATGCAGCAGCCGCAGCAGGCACTGCAGCAGCAGCAGCAGCAACAGCCACTGCAGCCACAGCAGCAGAGGCAGTAGCGTCCGCAGCCACAGCGTCTACAGCAGCCACTGCAGCAGCAGCAGCAGCAGCAGCAACAGCAACAACAGCAGCAGCAGCAACAGCCACTGCAGCCACTGCAGCCACAGCAGCAGAGGCAGTAGCATCCGCAGCCACAGCGTCTACAGCAGCCACTGCAGCAGCAGCAGCAGCAACAGCAACACAGCAGCAGCAGCAACAGCACTGCAGCCACAGCAGCAGAGCAGCATAGCGTCGGCCACGAGCGTCCGCACCACAGCTTGTCCGCAGCCACAGGTCCACAGCAGCCACTGCAGCAGCGCAGCAACAGCGAACACAGCAAGCAGGCAGCAACACCATCTGCAAGCACACCAGCAGAGGCAGCCAGCATCCGCAGCCACAGCGTTCCGCAGCAGCCACCGCAGCAGCAGCAGCAGCCAGCCAAGCAACTGCAGCCACAAGTCAACCGAGCCGCGGCAGCACAAGTGAACATCAAGCTGCTCTTCACTCATGTGCGAATACGAAATGGGCATTCTCTAGCGATGCAACTGGAGCAGGAGCAGCCAGCTACAGCAGCTGCATGAAGTGCATGTATTGATGGGAATTACTGTCCTGCGTTCGGAAAAGTAATTCTTGCTGATAATAGGAGGTGATCACGTCAGTCCAACTTAATTAGGTGAGACGATTTATAGAGCATTATCGGCAATACAAATCTTTTCGATACACGTAATCGATGCTGTACAAATAAAATTCTTACCATTCACTAATATATTTCGTAAAACTTTAAATACGTTCCTACCCAGCTGAGAGCACCCTCAGACAAGCAAACAGAGCGCGCTTTTCTCGGCCTGGAGAATATTTGACAGCAAATGCAGAAACTACTGCCCCACAGCCAGAAATAAAACAGATGCTCCGGCAAAAGGAATTGCCAGCCTGCAGAATATATTGCAGCGAACACATTGCGTATTAGCCCCCTCTTACATACCTATACGTCAAGCATTCATATTTTGAAAAGTGGACGGGGAGCGTTTCAATGTATGAAATGTACCACATATTTCTATAAACAGCTATTTTGTTAATGAGCATTTTTGTACGTAAAAAGTCTCGCAACTAAAAACTTTCACATAAACTTCTGGTAAAAATAATGAAACATTTTGGTTTGGAATAGAGCTTTGCTTTTGATGAGTTTCTGTGATTGCTGTATATATTCGAATAATCCTTTTACAAAACAGGCAATCCGAAACGAAATGAGGAGGGATAATCCCGAGAAAGCGCGAACAAAGGGTCAGTAAGCCACCTCACTCGCGTTCAGGCTTCAACCTAGCTTTGCCAGGTCCGCGGTCATATTGCATGCTGCGTGCCACACGATTATCAAATATCTTGACCGCATCAAGCTGACGACACCTGCCCCTACTGACCAAGGCCAACCTGATGATGAGCAGGAGAGTGGCTTTGCAGAACATGGCGCTTCGGAAGAGACTTTTCCTCGACATGAGGTGAATCTAGCATTGTTCTGTACATGCAANAGCAGCAGCAGCAGCAGCAGCAACTGCAGCCACAGCAACCGAGGCAGCAGCAAGTGAACATCAAGCTGCTCTTCACTGCAGTGGAATACGAAGGGCATTCTCTAGCGATGCAACTGACAGGAGCAGCCAGCTACAGCAGCTGCATGAAGTGCAGTATTGATGGGAATTACTTTCCTGGTCTCAGGAAAGTAATTCTTGCTGATAATAGGAGGTGAGTCACCGTCAGTCAATGTTAATTAGGTGAGACGATTTATAGACATATCGCAATACAAATCTTTTCGATACACGTATCGATGCTGTACTAAATAAAATTCTTACCATTCACTAATATAGTTTCGTAAACTTTTAAATAGGTTCCTACCAGCTGAGAGCACCCTCAGACATGCCAACAGAGGCGTTTTTCTGGCTGAGAATATTTCGACAGCAAATGCAGAACTACTGCCACAGCCAGAAAATAAAACAGATGCTGGCAAAAGAATTGCAGCTGCAGAATATATTGCAGCATAACACATTGGTATTAGCCCTTTACATACTATACTCAAGCATTCATATTTTGAAAGTATTTCAATTATGAAATGTCACCACATATTTCTTAAACACATATTTTTTTAATTGAGCATTTTTGAGTAAAAATCTCGAACTAAAAACTTTCACATAAACTTTGTAAAAATAATGAAACATTTTGGTTGGGAAAGAGCTTTGCTTTTGATGAGTTTGCTGGTTGGTGATATATTGAAATAATCCTTTTTACAAACAGGCAACCGAAACGAAATGAGGAGGATAAGCGAGAAAGCGGAACAAAAGGAGTAACGCACCTCCATCGCGTTCCAGGCTTCAACCTAGTTTGCAGTCCGGTCATTGATGCGGTGCACACGATTATCAACATTCTTGGCCGCATCATGAACCTGCTACTGAAGCGCCAACCTGATGATAGCAGGAGAGTGCGCTTACAGGTGCCCACACGAAAGGAGTTATGGTCTACTGCCTGCGGGGATGCCTGGGAATTGTGCAGCGGATCACAATATTCATGTACTGCCAGTGCATCCAGCAGCTTTACTCGCCTGCAACAGAAGAAGAAAGGTTAGCGACGCAGATGCCTCAATGAATTCATCGATGAATTACATGCAGTTCATGGAGCGAGCAGCGGGTGCGCCACTAACCACCATCATGACTCTGCATGGACATTCTCGGGTAACCATTAAGCATATATATAAGTAATCCATAAGACTAAGTGT